AGCAGTCATGGATTTAGTTGAGTGGGGACTGTCATGTCAAACAAGTTGGGAGAAATGGCCAGGTACTTGATGTCACTCTTATTGGAAATTTGAAAACTCCAAGGAGAAGTACTTGAGAAAAATAAAGAATAGTTAGTACATTTCCCCTAATAGAACAAAAGGGCTAAACAGGAAAAGTAAAAAGCTTACCAAAAAGCGACTGAATCAATGAACGAAGAATTCTCCTGTAATGAAAAGAAAGAAATATCAGAATGAGGACCTAATCCAAGGGAAATAAGGGTTTTAACAATCAAATACGTACCATTACAAATCCATCGAGTGAGGCAACAATCAAGAAAATTTTCGGTAGATGTGGAAGATAAAGCAGCAGTAGAGGTGATGGCAGAAGTGAAGGAAGCCATTTGAGAGCAAAGGAAAGATTGGAGCAAGGGAAGCAAATGCTTGAATGTCAAGAAACGGCAAAAAGGGCAAGAGAAGTGACCAAAAAAAGAAATAAGTTTATATTAACAAAGGGCGCTCAGAGACAAAGTGACATTTTAGTTTTTTCAAACTTGCCACATGGCTTACATTACCAACTACTAGCACACAGGCGGCATTGTTTAGGCTAAAATATAAAACATCGCTTAAATATATCACAATACTAGTTGGGCTGAGTAACTGAAGAGTTAGACCCAATATGAATAAAGAGGCCAGCCCTAAAGCTCAATGAGAGGCCACGATGGAATAAACATGCCGAAATCTCATCAGCTACAAACATTGGACTATTAGTACGAAAAGACACGATCTCAAGTAATGCCAAAATCTATGGACTTCGTGCCCAAGTATCTCGGTAAAACAGGTTGATTACCAAAATGGAGAGCACGAAATAAAGACCGCGCCATGAGTTTCGTGAGATCCTTCATTCTTCAGTAAAACCTGCTAGGTCTTAAGGGAGAGGCTACCACCACTTTGACACTATAAATAAAAGACTAAGATACAGAAGAAAGGAATCAACACTCAATCAAAAACTCATTTTTAATCCTTTTGCCTTCAGTTTTATTAGTTAGTTTTACTTTCAATTTAGACTTGTAACTTTTTACATTTCAATAAAAATCAAAGACTTGTTCTACCAAAGCCTTGTGTATCTTTTACATCCGAGTGAATTGTGGTAAGGGAGCTCGAGACCATTTTGTTATCAATTGAGACCCAGTGTCTCTAATACGCCTAGTATTTGTTGTTCATCACGAACAATAGATATAAACTTTTAATTACTTTAGTGTGTGTATCTTATTCTTAAAATATAGGCAATTATCTTGGGGAGTCAAAAGTTATCTTGCATTTTAGTGAAGTTTAGTTGAATGTGAAGGTTTAGGGTTATCTTTCTTTTCCCCCATCACAGTATGCATATTTTGCTTAGTTGAATGTGAAGGCTTGAGGCTTTGGCTTGACTAGTGAAATTAGTAAGAAATTTCAAGAGAATGAAGGAAACTATGGGTCTATTTGAAATTGTGTTGGTTTTATTATTTTGAAAAGTAATATTTTATAGAATATGTTTTGAAAAAAAATTAATAAAAATAGGGTATTTTTTTATTTTTTCTTGTTATCCAAAACAATAATCTTAAAACACTTAAAAAATATTTTTATTTTTCTATTTTCTATAACAATATTTTTTTCCTCTTAAACACTTTTTGAAAACATGTTATGAAACAGATTTTTTTTAAAATTTTGAAAAACAAAAAAAAAAATATATTCCCAAACTGGTTACTAACACAGGCCTTATATTTTGGCTTGGATTAGAGCTTAATCAAAATATATGAATTATGGAATTAGAATTCAAATATTTTCATTGGGCAAGGAATTTGGGAAACAAAATATTTTGTTTAAAAGCTTGAATATAATACGATGACTTTTTATAAAATATATGTTTTAACACTGATCCATTTTAATACTAATTAAATAATATCGATTGATATGGATGGAACTAATAATATTGATATTGTTTAGTGTTTTTTTTTAATTTTTAAGTGAAAATATTTTTCATAGTTTTATGAGAAAGCGAAACTTCACTTAAACTCAAAATCTAACTTCTCTTAAAATATTTGTGCATGTATATTTTGGATTCAATCATAACACATGTGAATCTTCGTACTCTTTTCTTGGATTAAAAGGCACTAAAAGCTATACCAATCCTTTAATTAATTACTACTACATTTTGAGAATGTGCACAAGGGAATTATATATATCATTTGGCCTTTTTGCCTTTTGTCTTTATCATTACAAAACACGTATAATCTAAAATTAACTTTTATGTCATGAAACGATATAATATGATCACATCTAGGTTATTGTACTCTTTTGATCACTTTATCTTTTTTTATCCCCCCCCCCCCAATATTTTGGCTTCGAGATTATGATAAAAATTAATTTTTTCGCATTATGTAATTCTTCTAGTGATAAACAATATTTTCCCTTTGTAAACACGCTTCAATTTCTAGAAGATTGCACTGATATTCAATTAATCCAAATTGAGGTCAAACCAATCAATGTCTCTACAATATCTCTTCCTACAAGCCATGGCTAAGCTAAACAGCTTCAAACACAAACCATTGTTTACAAAGCAAATTTTATATCTTATTGTGATGGATTGAGTAACCATTTTTGATCATATATATAAAAAAATAAATAGATGTGTCGACCTTTTGGCTAATAAAACTTCAAAAGAGAATTTTAATATTATAATATATGACAATCTATTTTTGATTGTACAAACTTTTATGCTCATGGATATGACTTGATCTTAGTTTTCTTATACGGTTTTTCAGTAACTTTGTATTAAAAATTAAACAAGTGAATTTCATCATTAAAAAAAAACTTTTAACAGTGACTTTCAACCTTGAACTTTTTAAAATGATAATTAAAAAAAAATCACCACTGAAAACAAGACATTTAAAAGTCATTAAACATCTTCATCATATTTTTTTGTCCTTGAATGTAATTTTTTATTTAATCAAATAGTTAGAATTTTAAGACATTAAATATGTTATATTATTGTATTTTTTAAAAAAACCTTATTAATTACACTTAAAAAATTAAAAATACCTTATATTCTAAACATCATATTTTAAAAATGTCTTATAATATTAAATAAAGGGAATTTATATTTTGTTTTAGGAGAAAAGTAAGATAGAACTGTGACATTGTAAGAATCTTTTTATCAAATCTTGCATAAGATATTATTGATATATTTTAATTTTAATTTTATTTAATACAAGCTCAATATACTGCATGCACGTTTAGGGAGTTTTATTTTATTTATTACAATTATTACAGTATTATCATTATTATTTATTTTTGAACTATTCTCTTCTCTTTACCCAAATATGTTGAACTTTTTGTTTTAGGATAATTTTCCACAGAACTTGGATGTTGACTTTACAACACGTTCCTTTGAATATATAACACATTTCTAATCCCAATTCTCAGGCTACCCCAAAATATAAATCAAATAATGCACCAATCGGGCATGACTAATTCTATTAACACCCACAAATTAGCTATCACAAGTTGTACTTATAAAATTACATTTTTGGTCTGATAATCTTTATTCATTTATTCATTTAAATTTTATAATTTAAAATTCGAAATTACGTTTTATAATTTATATGACTTTTAAATTGATCCATGAATCATACTTTGTTAAACGTACTTTTGTTTTTAGTATCAGAAGTGTCATTGGCTTATTGCTAGCAATAAGGAAATTTTTCTTAGAGTAGAGAGAACAAATTAAAATTTATTAAATTTGTTCATATGATTGTCATTAAACTCATTGATATTTAATAATAAAGCCAAACATTCAATTGCCCAAAAAAAAAGGCAATATGACCCAATGTCAACTGTAAACCAGACGGCATTTAAAACGTGAACCCAACAAGTGTTATTTTGTATACTAATTTCTTCAACTACTAACTAATTAATAATAATACTTTCTTTATTTAAAAATATAAAGTATTTTTAACTGACTCTCACCCTTCAATAAAATAGTTACCTACTTTTTAACTAATCCTATTTTTTTATATTTACCCTTGTTAAACACCCTATAATAAATATAAAATCATTATTAATATGGGCACTTTTGAAAAAAAAGCAATGATTACACCTCGAAAGGACTAAAAATATTTTACATTTTTTAACATCTAACTTTTCAAAAAATATTTTATATTTTTAAATAGAAAAAATATCTTTTATATGTATGATCACTATTTTCGGACAAATTTTTACACAACAAATCAACTTCAATCCCCGTGAACTTTTGTATATACAAATCAACATATAATGTTATAGTTAAGATTCATGGTCAAGGATTTTCATACACACCCTTCATATGCTTCTTAGGGTTCAAATAGAATTTTACTTTTTCACTCATAGATAAATAATATATCTCTAGATTAATTTATATCAAATTTGTTTTACCATTTTTTCTTCAAAATAAATTAGAAATAAAGAATATATAAAAATAATTCAATAAGAACACAATATTTATTAAGTTTTCAATGTTCCAAAATTATATCTATTTAAAAATATTGAGACAATGTAATTCAACATCTTTTTTCTCTAAAACTTTTTGCTATAAAAAATAACAATTTATGAATACTATGCACTTTTACAAAATTTACATTTTATATTGATTTAACCAATTTTTTAACTTGATATTTTAAAAAAATTTTCAAATATTTTAGTCAATTTCTTTCCCAGAAATATATATATATATATATATATTTAATTGCCAAGATGCAAAAATTTGTTATCACATTTTCAATAAACAAAATTAAAAGGAGATTATGGTCATTTCGGATTTGATGTTACTCCGATATCAAGCCATTGACCTACGAGCTACTATTACCCGTAGCATGATTATTGATGAACCTTCTTCTTTAACGTTCTCCAATTTCAATTAATTTTGATTTTAAATTTAAATTAAAACAAAAATCAAACCAGAGAAAATATTTTGACTACATTTCTTGATTTGCACTGGAGCCAGCAGGCCAATCGTATCTATCATTCCCCACCTATTTTTCCTCCTCCTGGTAGTCATTGTCGTAAGTTTCGATGTCCGCTCCATAATCGGAGAAAGACGATAACTGTCTTGTTGCCGTCATCATCCTCGCTCTCTAAGAATTAAAATCGATTCTTTTCCATTCCCAATTTATTAATTTTATGAATCAGAAAATTCTGTTCAGATTTTCCCTTCTCTCTGTTGTTGTCACGTTGATGTTTTTTCTGGGCTTTACTTATCATTTTCCCTGATTATTTGTCTTTCCCATTCTTATTCTGATTGATGACCTTGTAGCAGAGATGAGAGCTCTTTCGAGCTTTGTAATGGTGCTAGAGGATGGTTTTGATGTTCTTCTGCTGTAAATTTTGAAATCCCCTTTTCTTTTCGTCATTTCTTGTTGGACCCATTATTAGGACATTTTTTTTATTCTTTTGCAGCCTCTCTTCACCTAATCCAAATCCTATGTATTCAATTATTCATTAAGGTCTACATATTCATGCCTTCAGATCGGTAGAATTTTTCTCATTTGACAAGGTCCTTCAGAGACGATTTTGTTTTTGTCTCAATCCCTAAACCACCCTCTCTTTCTCTCTCTCTGCCCTTCATTTTTTTCTTGATTTATCATTGTATCGCTCGAGAAAATGTATGGAACTCAAAGCAAAATAGACCTTGCCCTGGAATACCAATCCCAAATACCAATTCTGAGGCCTAGCATCCATTCCAGAAGGGCAAATCTCACAGTAAAATTTCAAGACCTTTATGGGTTCACTGTTGAAGGAAATGTGGATGATGTTAATGTGTTAAACGAGGTTAGAGAGAAGGTGAGAGAAAGGAATCGGGTATGGTGGGCGTTGGAAGCTAGCAAAGGTGCAAATTGGTATTTGCATTGTACTATTGGCCAAGGGGGCACCAGCAGTGCCCTTAAGTCTTCCTTGAAACTCTCTGTACTAACAAATGCCATCACTCTGAAGAAGTTAATTAGGCAAGGAATCCCTCCGGTTCTTCGGCCTAAGGTTTGGTTCTCTTTGTCAGGGGCGGCTAAGAAGAAGTCTACGGTTCCTGAGAGCTATTATGATGATCTAACAAAGGCCACAGAGGGCAAGGTCACTGCAGCCACTCGACAGATAGATCAAGTGAGTACTGATGATAACTGTGATAATCACAGGATTGAGATGTGTTTCTATTTCTAGTTCTGGACATTAATTGTGGGGTTTAACCTTTCTTGCTGGATTTCCTCATTAAAGACAAGAAGTTGCATATATGTGGATCTTTTACAATTATTTAGGACCATACTTTGGTCTGAGTGAAGATTTCGTTCGTGATCAGAGTTCTCATCAAGTTTGCATAACCTGTCTTTTCATTTTTTTTATGGTGAAGTTCAGACCCGTCTTGCTGCAAATTTTGTTGGACCTATGGGTCTGGTTAATTGGTTATCATTGATGTCCTTTTATTCAAAATTTTCAGCTTTGAGTTAAGAAAGGCCTTTGAGAGTTGAAACAACTGTGCGTGCTATTTATTTATTTATTTTTTTGGTAAAAACTTCATTATATGGGCTTTAGCTCATGTCAATGTGCATACATATGTTTGAGAATATGAATTTGGTTAAGGCCACTTGTATCCTGACTACATGCTGATTATTATCCACTTGTGTGGTCATTAGCATATTTTGAAGAATGGTAATCAAATTAGTTTGTGACTTCTGTATTTTCATGTCTTTGGGATGTTATTGCGTTTTACCCAGCATTGTGAACTTTCTGGGCTTGTATAAGGGGCTGTTATCAAGGTATCAAATGCGTCTTCTTGTAAAAATGACTACACTTGCTGTGTGTTATTTTTCTTACAGTCATTCTGTATGCATATGTACAGGACCTACCACGAACCTTCCCTGGTCACCCATGGTTGGACACACCAGATGGGCATGCTGCTCTTAGGCGAGTTCTTGTTGGCTACTCTTTCCGTGATTCTGATGTTGGGTATTGTCAGGTGAAATTTGCTTCCATGTCCTTCCTCTTCTTATTAAGTATTGTTTTTTCTGATAGCTCTTTCTGTTTGGAAGGAAATTTTTTATATATTCATATTGTGAACTATATACTGATTCTTAAAATGAAGAAAATGTCTTTCCGATGAGGTTCACTTTCTTTCAATTGTTTCTTCTTCTTCTTCTTCTTCTTTTATTATTCTTGTGCAAAGTAGATCCTAAATCCTTTGTAACTAAGAAGTTCAATAGTACTTCAGGTATATGAATCACCAATGTTAAATTTTCTTTGTTTCTTACTCTAAACTGCTATCAATCCAGGGGTTAAATTATGTTGCAGCATTGTTGTTGCTTGTCATGAAGACTGAGGAAGAAGCGTTCTGGATGCTAGCAGTCCTGTTGGAAAATGTCTTGGTGAATGATTGTTACACAAACAACTTATCAGGATGCCATGTTGAACAAAGAGTGTTCAAAGACTTACTTGCTAAGAAATGCCCGAGGTATGTGAATTTAAAAACCTATAGATCTTTGTAATGTAGTAGCTTTTTTTTCAGTATTTTCTAAAAAAATTAAAGGAAAAATGCAGGATAGCTAGTCATCTGGAATCTATGGACTTTGATGTCTCCCTTGTTGCCACCGAGTGGTTCCTTTGCCTCTTTTCAAAGAGCTTGCCATCAGAGGTTAGAAATGATGCTGCTGCTGCTGCAATATGCTATGCATTAAATTGTTCAACGGAGAGATTGCATTTTCACCTATTTGAACTGAAGCTCAGTGTTACAATTAATGAATACACTTTCAAAATATAATGAAATACTTTCATGAAATTTGGTCTAAAATGGAAATGTTACATTTCTATGAAAAACAACTACTCCCTCCATTTCTATTTAAAATAGAAACTATCACTTTTAACTTGTTTTTTTATATAAGCAAAATCACATTTTTAAATGGGCATTTAATGCAAACTTCTTAAATTGCCCCTCATAATTTTATCATTCATAGTCATAAGAAAACAATTAATGAAGGATTGATTAACACAATTAATAAAGGGTATTATAATCTAATTTTTTTATTTTCAGATATAATTAATATTGTTAATCAATTTTTTTAAACTGTGTAATCCAGTTTTTTTCTCCTACAAATAGAAATGGAGGGAGTATAACATAACTACTTCCTTCGTTTTGCAATATTTTCATGCTACTGATATATATGTAAATGCATCATGTGTTTTATGGTTTCATTTTATTTCAACGTTCAAAAAAGTGTTATATCTTCTAAAGTTAATTTTTCAAATTTTGTAATTAGGCCTTAGTTTTCTTATTATTGACAATTCTTCTTTGGGTTTCTTTTCTTAATCAGACAACTCTGCGAGTTTGGGATGTTCTTTTCTATGAGGGAGCCAAAGTGATATTTAATGTGGCTTTGGCAATATTTAAGGTAGTAAGTTTAGCTTTTGTCTTTCATGGTTGTGGATTCTTACTCATTAGCATGACAGATTATAATAAGAAGAGATGCTTGAACTGTTGTGACTTATAATTGCAGATGAAGGAAAATGAGTTGCTTCTAACCCGCCATGTAGGCGAAGTAATCAACGTTCTGCAGAGGACCACTCATCACCTATTTGATCCCGATGATTTGCTAACTGTAAGATAATTCCTTTTCTGATATATTAAGCTTCAATGCTCGAATAAAGAACCATATTTTGATCAATAAATGAATGAAACTCATCTTAAATATGTTACCTTATTTCAAATCGAATATAACATACTATATATTTTATCCTGACTTCATATTGTGGCATGTCTGTAATTTGAAACAATTATGTGCTTATGCTAGATATCTTCTTCCTTTGGATGATATACCTCAAGTTTGTAACTAGGCTCAAAATAAATTGTCTTATCAGTATGCTTCCTCTAGTTTCTATTATAGGGCACCTTCTAGGAATATTTTTTGGTCCTTAATATAAGGCATATTATGGGGTATTAATTATGTTTTTCCAATATTACCTTTATTTAAACTCATTTATTATGAGAGAGAATATAATGCAAATTTGAAAATTTTTTATTTTTAGGTAAAATTGAAAGTTTATTATATTTTCAAACAAAGTTAATAATTTAACTACTTTTTCTTGATTCTGGTGAGGTAGTTGGAGGTAGAGTGAGTAGTTCTTGACTTCAATTCTAATAGTATACATCATCTCCTGTTAATGCAAAATAACTTGGGATCAAGTTTTTCACTGAAATGCGTGGAACTATTTGTGGTTGGAATTCCCCAAATTAAATGCCTGAAGGTTGCTCTAGTAGCTCAGATTTGTCAGTATCTGTACAAGAATTAAACAGGCGCATGCGTGCACAAGTATATACTCCCTCCATCTCTATATATAAATTGTTTTCTAGAAGTTTATTTTGTCCCTAAATATAGGGGCTGACAATGATATTTTTGAGTAATTAAATAATTTTACCTTTGTTTTGAAAAATAAAATAGATCATTAATTGTATGTTTTCTCTACCACCATCATGATATTATTAGGGCTAAAACTGAAAAATTATTGTGTTTTTATGTGAGTTCAATTAAATAACAAACCTTTATTGGTATGCGAGATTTGGTTAAAAACACCTTATATATAGATGGAGGGAGTAATCAACAAATTGTTACAACCATCAGCAAATAGACTACACTGTTTCTTGTGTTGAATTTGATGAAAATGGAGTTGAGTCAATGATTCTTGGATGATTTGGTCTGAAATAGATTTATGATAGTTAGATCAAGCAAGTCATGAATAAGATATGCAAGCACGTTACAGAAACAATTCAATGTGTTCTATTTCTAACATGCCAATGTCACATATTTGTTGATAATTGACCAAGTCTATCTATCTCTTATAAATAAGGTTCATCCACGAATTTTTCATCGTGAATGATTGTTTCAAAACTCTCGAGTGTGAAAAACCAAAATAAGGGGGAAAAGGATGACACAACAGTTTTACATGGATTGTGCATTGTCAAACTGATTTTACCATTCCTAGTATGTTTGCTCAAGATGAATAGTGATGAGAAATGACTCGTGACCCTACATGAGAAAAATCTAATTGAAAAAAAAAAACACTATTGGATGATAATGACAGAGTGGATCTCCTCCTTACATAAAGAAGATATAGTGAGGAGAGAGGAGATAGAGGGGGTGAGACCCATCCCTTAGGAGTGAGGATTTGGATTCATTTATAAGAATACTCCTCTTATCATACTCATAAATTACTTCCGTTATATTTTTTATTGGAACTAAATAAAATCATAAAAATCATTAACTCTGTCTGAAAATTTAATAAATCTTCAACTTTATTTCTATTAAATATACATCTTTTAATAAGATACTTTCTCTCACCAACACTTAATCAAGGGTAAAAGAAAATATTATAATAAAAAATTAATCACGTGACTTGTAAATATGACTAAAAAAATCTTTCTGACTAGAGGAACCATATTATATATTCAATAACAAGAATATAATAGATGCTGTAAAAAAAATGTTGCTTTGATATCTGTGCAACTTCTTTCCATTGCCCTCCAATGTGCACTGGTTTGGCATGCGTAATAGATAGATTGGAATGAGAAATGAAAAGATGTGATTTGTCTTTTATGTCTTAATAAATAATAGAGAAAATAATTATTGCTGAATAATGATAATAAAATCACATATCTCAACTGTTGCTTTATGGCATGTGTTTCTCCTCGCATGAAACGAAGCATAGAAGAGTTATTGTTAATTGTATGTTTGTTTGGATACAGGTGGCATTTGAGAAGATAGGTTCAATGACAAGCAACACAATATCAAAGGAAAGAAAAAAGCAGGAACCTGAAGTGATGAAGGAACTTGATGAGAGGTTCAGACGCTTGAATTCCCTTAAAAGTTGATGCCACATAACATTCATTGAATCAATCGTTTACTCTTTAAAAAAAAAAAAGGTTCAGAACAAATCATCCAACCTTTCTAGTAGGCTATCTCCGCTGCCTCAGCAGAATGTGCTTAGGGCCTTTTTTTTCTTTCTCTTTCTTTCTTTTCTTGTCAATTTTTTTTTTTTATAAAAACAAGATGTTGTACTCTGGAGGTGATTAGTGTAAAAATTTGCAGCGGGTACATCTAAAACTCCTGAATTATAATGCAATTCAAATGAGGGCATTGTGAAATTTCACTGCCTTGTTTTTGATTTGTTAATCATGGCTTCTTTTTTTTTAGGGCCAACAAAATCATCAGTATTATTACTATTGGATTGGAGGTCATATTGTACATGGAATTTGAGTTATGGATTTTTGGACTGTATATGGGCTCAGTGAGATCTAGTTTGGAGTTTTGAATTTTGGGTCAAAGACTTAATTTACCCTTAATTTTTTTTAAAGAAACGTTGAGCACTTACAGTAAAAAATGGTACAATATTCTTCCTAAATAATATTTTAAGGAATATTATTACTTTTTCATTAGGTTTTTTTTTTGGTAGAAGACTTGTAATTTATTATACTATCTTAATTTACAAATCATCCATAAATTTCTGAAAAACTAGTTAAATTGTGAATATTTAAGTGATTTATAATTTTTGAATGAATATTTTATAAATAATAATATTTAAATTATTAAATATTAAAATATTTTAACGAGATTTTATTAAAACGAATATTATTTTTAATTACTTTTTAATATTTCCAGCATTGGTAGTTTAATAATCACTTGATAGTCAATCAAAGTGATTGATTAAAATAATATTTTTTTATATTTTATATAAATAAGAAATAACATTAGTCTACTAAAATTTATTTATAATTTAAGGAGTTTAATTAGTAATAATTTTCTTATAAGGTTTTTTTATGTAATTTTTTTGGGTCTTATGCTGTAATTTTCTAGGTCTTTTTTTTGTAATTTTTAAAATTATATGTAAAGATTTGTAAGTAATAATAATATTTATATTAGAAAATATTAAAGTATTAATATTTTAACAAGATATTATTTAAATAATTTAATGTTTTTAATTATTTATTTGTATTCTTGCTAATAACGATGATCTGATAATCATAAGGTTTTAAAAATTGGATCGGAGATTAATCTAGATAATGGACTGATTTAAGGGTTAATGATCGAACCAATTTTAATTAATTTAATATATTTTAAATTATATATTTAAAAATCGTAAGATAAATTCATCTATAATCATAAAGATTAACATTTAAATAAAAATATTTATATAAAGATAAGAAAATTAAAAGCTGTTTATAATTTTTTATTTAAAATAATAGTATTTTAGAAGGTTTCATTTCATCTTCCTATTTTTTTATAAGCATCAATAGTATTTAATAATATTAACATGAATTCATAAATAGATGTTTTTAACTCCCTCTCATCCTAGATTGCTTCTCGCCTTTTGTTCCATTCTCCAATATATTAATATTTAATAATATTAAAATGGGGCCATTCAGGTGAAAAGAGGAAAAAATCGTACAGCAGAGAAATTAAGGAAATTGATCCGTAAGACTGACACAATGCATTCTTTCTTTGAGATGACACATTCGTCTTCTTCTTTCCTTCCCCTCTCTGCTGAGGGTCTCGTTGAATTGCAGCTTCACTTTCATCTTGTCTAGTGGCTTTATCATAAATCGTGTAGTTTTGTGACTGAAAAGACAAATTTAAGGTGATTTTTTGCTGCAGAATGTCTTCTTATTTTTTAAAAAATCTCTTTCATCCTTCTTATCTTCATCTTTTCTCTCATGGTCTCAACCCTTTCTTCCATTTTTTTTTTCTCGGATACCATCTCTTAAACCGGCCAAACCTATCAACTGTTTGGTTTTTACGGTTTTTCTTATTCATTGATTAGTTGACTGGTTTGATTATTCTTTAATTTTTCTACCTCACTCGGACCGAACTGATAATTGATTCCTAGTCTAATCGGTCAATTTGATCCAGTTTTTGAAACCTTAGATAACACTTAAGTGGGAGGAAGAATTGCGTGAGCTTAGAAACATGGCTACTTCATTTTTTAAGGGGCTGTTTGCTGATGAATGGGGTGAGATAGGGGGTGTGATATTGACTCATAGTTATCCTCACATTGATGACAATCTTTAGGTTGATATGTGCAAGCCTTTGATTGATGAGGAGATTACTAATGCCATTTTTTTTATTGGAGCTTTCAAGGCTCGCGGTGTAGATGGTTTTCTAGTTGCATATTTTTAGAATGATTTGAAGATTGTTTGGAAGGATGTGTGTGAAGCTATTAGGGCTTATTGGAAAGGGGAAAGGGAGATGAAAGATATCAATGGAACGCTTGTTCTATTTGTTTCTAAAGTTGATAAGCCTAAAACTATAAAGTAGATGAGCCCTATTGCATTGTGTAATGTTCCCTATAATGTTATTCCTAAGATTTTGGTAAATAGGATAAAACCTTTTCGTAGTAATTCGGTGGCCCCCAATTAGGTGAGTTTTGTTCATGGAAGACACATTTAGGATAACCTTGTGGTGGGTTAGGAGTTGATTCGTAGTATGAAGAATATGAGAGTAAAGAAGGTTTTTTTTTTTTTGTCATAAAGATAGATTTATAGAAGGCTTATGATAGGCTCAGATGGGATTTTGTTTGGGGGATCTTATTGGAAATGGAAATGAAGGAAGAGATGAAGAATTTGATTATGAAATGTATTAATACTATCTTGACCTAGGTACTTTGGACTCTAAAGGGATTAAACATGTGTTTATGAACCCTCTAAAGGGATTAAATAAGGGGATCCCCTTTCCTCCTATATTTTTTTTAGCCATAGAAAAATTTTAACATCTTGAATTTTTTATTTCTGTGATTGGTTGTTAATTAAGGGTAAAGTGGTAATTAGTGTGTGATTAGAGCTTTGGATGATTACTTAATAGTTTGGCTCATTGGGATGTTGTGTGAACAAATATGGGTGGAAGGATCATGTTTCGAGTCGAAGCAAGTGCACGTGGTGAGAATTATTCTCACCATGCCACGCTTCGTGACTTGTGTTGTATGCGCCGCGATGCATGGACCAGCAAATGACCCCTTAAGTTGTAAATTTTAGGTGATTTTCAGAAAGGAGAAATCAGAAACGCATGAGAGGAGAAGAGGAGAAAGGTTGATATGCTAGGGCAAGCCATTTAATGTCACTGTAAGGTGTTTCTGATCAATAACTTAGTGGGTAAGCAACGTATAACTCTTACCTTTCATTCAACCCAAATTTCTCTAAATATGAGTTATATAGAAATTAAATCAGTGAAATTTTAGGGGTTTGATTCTTTCTCAATAGTAATAAAAAAATTCTTGAGAGTTAAATTAGAGCTTTGTGACTGGTTTAGAACTGAAAGATAGAACTTTGAATCCATAGGCTCGATTTGGCCCTAAGCAAGAGGAAATTAGAGTCAAAATCTCATTTGAGTGAAATGAGATTAGTTGAGGTGATGTTAAGGGATAATTGAGTAGTAATAGACTTATAATGGATAAATTAAAAAGAATTTATGGCTAAATATAGTTATAAGTAGTAAAAACATACTTTTGGTCAAATCGTACTAAATGACTAAATTGTATCAAATGTGTTCAAATTGGCATATTGAGCGGGTGAGTTGAGAAAGAAAGCTTGTGATAAGCTGTAGTGGTGATTGAAATCCATGGGTGTGAACATTGTATTTTGTCTGAGAATTTTTTAAATTTAATAAAAATAATAATAAATAACCAAAAATATATATATATATAAATACAAAAATGAAATTTAATCCTTTTTAGGATTATATTTTCAAAACAAAAAAAATTTAATTAATAGGATTTAATTTTATTTTAGATAATCTTTTGTTGGCTAGGATTTTATTTCTTTTAGTTTATTAAAAAACCAAAAAATATAAAAATACAAAAATAAAATTTATTCCTTTTTAGGATTTTATTTTCAAAAAAATATATAATAATAATAACATAAAGAAGATAAATAAATTGGTCCTTAGAATCAATTTTGAAAATAAAAAAAAAATCTTGCTTGAACCTTGCAAAATCTCTTTTAAATTATCTCAATAATTTAAAATATTGGGAATCAATTTTTGAGAGTTAATTTAAAATTTCTCTCCTTAAATCTTGTTATTTTTCATTTAAAAAAAAGAAGATAAAAGATATTCTTGCTCAACTCAAAATCAGATTTCCTATTCTAATCTAATTTTTGAGACTAATACTTAAAAAAAAAGAGTTTGGAAAACAAATAAAAAAAAAAAACGAAAGAGAGGAGCAGACATAAACACACTCACGCGGGCAGAGATAGGAGAAAAAGAACATAACATTTCACCCTTATTTCCTTGAACTGCTCTGGCTGCACGCATGAAGACAGTGAGAAACAAAAATACAGAAGAGCAGAAACGCAGCACTCACACAGCAGACGAAAACGCAGAGAGAGAGAGAGAGAGAGAGAGCAAACGATCGCGTATGAAGAAGCAAAGAGCAGAACACGCACACACATACACTTTCGGCCAGCAGAAGAAAAGAAAAAAAAAACCAGAGATGCACGCACGCACGCAGCAGACAGAGCAGAGCAGCAGACGCATAACAGAAGACCAAAGGTACACGCCGAAGAAAACACAGAGATGCATGTTGCAAAAAAAAAAAAACAAAAGAAAAAAAAAAACAGAGCACAGAAGCAGCACACAGCACGGACGAAAAATGGAGAAAGGAGAGAGCAAAAGCCAAAGAACAAAGCCAGACGTGCACGAAAGAGAAAAAGATGGTGGCTTCAGCGATTAAAGAGAGCTGACCGAAAGAAAAAGAGGAGGACCTGATTTTTACTTCTAGAGGTTGGAACGAGAGAAAAAACTGAGAACGAGAGAGCTAGGTTCTGGAGGTTGAAGCAAGAGAGAGACGGAGAGGGGGAGAGGAGACCGAGTGAAGAAGGAGATTTCAAAAACAGAAGGAGAGTCAAAAAGAGCGGATGGACAATGAGAGAGCAGTGACAGTGATGAGGGGGACGAGAGAAAACCGACAACGAGAGAGAAGTTTTGAGAGGGAGAGTCAAAAAGGCCGTGGTATTTGCTTTTGGGGTTAGAGCGAGAGAGAGGCCGAGAGAGGGAGAGTAGTGGCAGCTGAACAGGGACCGAGAGAGAGGATGGAGCCAGCGGAGCGTTTTAACGAAAGAGATTTGGAAACGATGGGAGGAAAAAGATGAGAGATTTGTACGGCAAGAGAGAGTCATCATCATCAA